TTTAAAACGGGGGCCATGTACGTGCCAGGGATGCGCCACTGTCACACATATGCGGCTCCCGCAAGTGCAATTAGGGCAGTGCCGTCCACGGACAGTCGGGCGTCCGGGAGAGATTGCAGGCGTCGTGATCAACGCGGTGAGTGTGAGCCTGGCACGGCGGCCTGTTAGCGTAGGGGCCCATGACGGCGCCTCCTGTCTGCGGACGCGGAGATAGACGGGTAACGATAGGCGTCAGCCCCTGGCGGTACTTGTGGCTGCATGTGTATGCACGGGGGATAAGCACACAGGGTTCTCGGGGGGGGTGGGGGGTCCTCCAGTCGAGCCGCATCGATCTTCAGAAACCACAAAGTGCAGCCGCAGGCTTAATAAGAGCAGTTTTTTATTCCAGGATGGCCGTGTCGGTCCGAGCGGTCGGATAGCAGCAGCTTTTACGGTGCTGTGTGTGTGTGTGTGCCTGGGATGGCGGATACACACACGCACATGAAGCCGGCATGTTCGGCGGGACACGCTCCGTCACGCTCTCCGCATCACGGCAGATCATGCGTGTCGTATGACCCGAGCCCTCACAGCAGATCCGTGACTCCCAAGCGGACGTGTCGGTGAGGAATGTAAAGCAGGAGACCGGCACCTGTGTCAGGAACACTGGGCTGCTCTGCTCCCCTCCATCCCCAGCCCTGCCAGCTTCTGCTGATCACATTTTAATTAGCGGCTGACTGACAGCTTAAACTCCGGGTGACTTCCTGTATAATTAATGCGCTAAAACAATGAGCAGCCGCAGTGGAGTAAAAACCAGCCCGTCCTGAAACTCGGGGGTCTGACCTGCCCCCCCCCCCCCTGCGATGACCCCTCCCCCTTAAACACCCTCCCTTAAATACCAAGTACTTCAGATGCCCGGTGCCAGATACTCAATGTATTCATTTGCAGATCAACGACAAGAATTTAAATTAGCGTTACTGAAGGGTACAGATTACGGTAAAATCTCTTCTCAGCTCTTCGGGGATTCGCATGCGTAAATGTGCAGAGTAAGCAACCTGTACCTAAGTGACCGGTGTCAGCAGTCCCAGAGTGACCTTTGCATTCATCTTACCCACTGGGGATTGGGCTCCAGCTAGGTACCTGTGCAGAGTAACCCTCAGAGTGGCAGCTGGTTCGGACTGCGGACAAGTAATATGTGTGAAAAATCCTGCGTATCCTGCGTTTTTGGATGCGACCGCATCAATTAGGGGCGTCCGTGAGTAGCCGATGACCGGAGGCGGGTTATTAACATGCGTCGCTGTCAGATAATGAGCCGGGGGCCAAGCAGCAGCGGGGCTGAAATCCGCTGAAAACAGCTAGAGGACGGAGGCTGACATGGTTAGGACTAGCCGCTCAGAGCCGCCGGGGTGGGTGGTGGGGGGAGGGGGGGGTGTGAGGATGCAGGGGGGTGTAGGAAAGTGCTACCTGCTTAGCAGGGCTGTCAGGTGAGAATAATTACGTTTGATAAATTATGAAACAGGCATCTGCTATAGCCATACCCTGTGGCACTGAGTATCACTGCAGCAGTGCTCACACGTGCACAGTCACACACACACACACACACACAGTGACTGGCTAGATACAGGTGTAGTTGACGAGTGAACAAAATGTCAGCTAAAGACTGACGAGTATTTTTTTTGTCACCCCACTGATGGTGGTGAAGTTTTGTCTGGATGAACGAACAAACAAACAAACAAACAAATGGCACAATTCAAATGATGCCTAAGCCAAGGTGCAAATGGAAATGCCTGTATTATTTTTGTTCGCTTTCAGCTGCGAGTCCGTCATTCTTAGCCCATGAGGAATTAGCCTAGAGCTCGATTGCTAAAAATTAAACAGAACATGAAATAATTTTTTTTGTTTGTTTGAACTGTGATATACCAGCTTGGTTTTCAGAAATTACGGCATTCGTTTAAGTCAACATCCTAATCAAAGACAGCCAATATGAGACCGTACAACGCGTAAAAGTGGCATGATGGGGGGGGATGCCAAGAGGGCCACAATTAAGAAACACACGTGACTGGAATCTTGATATTTTGTGCGCATGCCGCCTACATTTGATGGTCATGCGTGTTTCAGCAACCAAACGTCAGAGGCAGATTAACTTATCTGCCGACCTTAAGATGATGGCAGCACGGAGACTCAGGCGTTGCCGATTTAACTAAACCGGGAGTCTCAAACGTAAATAACCTGGGGGCTAGTGGCTAGGAGGTCTTCTCCATGGGGGCCACTTCAGCTGTTTTGTTTGAGCCGAAAGAGTAACGGGAGAATATCAAAAAAGATGGAACGTCAACAACCCGGTAATCGGCGTGTGGGGTGCCGGTGGTAGGGAAGCACAGCGAAACAAACTCATTACATTTGTGAAGTACCCTGGTCACATGGTAGGGCCCCACGGGAGCTGGGCCTGATCTACGTCCACGGACTCGGGCTGACCATGAGAGACGTTCCCTTACGCGAGCACAGGAAATAACACTGCCGAGGCCTTTATTCCGTCTGTTTTCTCATTCGTCAAACAGGAAACAAATGGCTTTGTTGAAGGGGTCCTCTGAAAATGACCTGTGTGTGTATGTGTATTGATGCTGTTTTTGTAGCGAGTGAAGCAGCCTTGAAGCACCTTCAGAACGCGACCCCAGCTGTATGGAGGAACTTATGAGTCTCCCCACGACGTGATTTATGGTTCAATATGATGACAGCAGTGTAAAGGCCACACATGGAGGAACCCAATCACCGAAAGGGTTGTGTGTGGGAGTGGGGGGGGGCGTTAACACGTTACAAGATGCCTTAGTGGGGGGGGCCAGACCCCTCAGGGACGCCTTCAGAGGATGATCGGCTTTGGGGGGGGATTGTTCTGATTCGTGATGGTCAGATTCATAGAACAGATTGTCTCGGAATGCACTGGAGCGATTCCTGCGAGGCGTGATTTGGGTCAGGATGTTTGGCTGAGGCTGGGCATCTGCAAAGAGCTTATAGAAGTGCTGGTGCACCAGGTTCTTGCGGCAGGACGTGTCTGCAGCTTCTTCCTGCAGTTCGGCTATGATGCACCAACCCTTCATGCTATCATGCTAATTACGTCGATTAGTCTTATTAATCAGTAGCTGAGTACATGATTAACGTGGCGCTGCAACCTTCCACCTCTGGGGACAGAACCTGGAATCCCCTCTCGCCATGTCTTGTGGGTTTTCGTCTAGGTAAACCTAGTTTCCACACGTAGCACAAACACATACAGTGACGTGAACAGCAACCAGTCCATGTCGTCCACCTGCCTCGTGCTGCCTCAGATAGGCTCCAGGCCCCCTGACATTCTTACCAAGATAAATGGTCAGAAGATGGATGAATTCAGCTGAAGTCTCCCCCTCAAAGGTACAACAGTAATTCCCTTTTACAGACCTCATAAGCGGAGTTGTGGCAGCACCTGGGACTGCTGCCTTTTTTTATGACTAGATTCTCTAATTTTGCCCCATCTTTCCTCAGTCTGGCTTGCAGAGGGTCATAAATCACGCGCTATTTTCTCACCCACAATGCAGTCCACTAGATGCCGCTGCTGACCGAAAGTTAAACGTTGAGTGAAATTTATTCATACACTTTTCAAATAGAAACAGTACAAAAAGAGTAATAAAATAACTGTGCATAATTCCTAACTGGTATTCCAACAGCGGCATGCATTTTGTAATTTGGAATATGGAAGTGACTACATAGGCCACATATCTAGTGTTAAAATACTAAAGGAAAATAATTGAGGTGAGGAAGGGAAGATTGTATGCGCTGGCAAAAAAAAAATGCTCATTCTTTATTTTTGCCTGGGTTTCTGCGTCAGGAATAGCTTAAGAAAGCCTGAGGCTCTTCCGGTCATTTCGGCTTCCAGCCTGCGTGGCAGAGGACAGGCACAGATATTCCCCAAATGAGGCTCGGACGGGCGGAAAACGGCAAATCTCCTGACCGCTCAAGGAGACGTTCGGAAAGCCAAAGAAAATCCGGAGGGTCAGCTTGGAGACTCTGAGGGCAAATTATGAATTCTGAACTATCAGCGTGTCGAAAAAGACTGTAGTGAGTAATTGTAACTTTTAATAGTGAGGCAGGCAGTTCTAGTCCTTGTTTCTGCAGATCAGCAACCCCCCGGAGTTGTTCAGTGTCCTCTTAGTCGGATAGCGAGATTTTATTTCGGCTTGTCAACTTGTAAAATTTATTCCTGCTCCCTGATTTAGTTGTAATGGCCACAAACAATATAAGGCGACATCACCTGAAATATAATTATCTGTAACAATATTTTGAACTGAAGTCTACGAAGTCTGTTTTAGGATTAGTAGACACCAGTGAGAATAGGGAAATGGTTGAAAAACGACCGATCTCACAGCCTCGTTTCATTTTCAAGCGTGCGCTACAAAGTAATAAATGTCCGTCCTTATCTTATCCCGAAGGCAAACATTCACCACGAAACGGGTGTGATAATGAATCGCGGAAGGCTGCAGTCGCCGAGAACTCGGAATGAAGCGGCGCTGAAATGGTCTCAGTCCGTATAATTTTATGGCTGATGAAATCAGCCGTCTATCCGTTTGTTTTGCTGAGGTTGTGAAACTATTTGCCATATAAGCAGGACTGGTATGTTCCTCATCTGTTATACCTCATATGATTTATTATGTTTATAATATAGTATGTTACGATATTAGACAATAAACAAGTAGGCGTGTTATTAACCATAAGAACTTATTCGTGCAGTGTTCTTGTTAAGGGACCGGGCGCTGTCCATTGTTCTGAAACCTGTCTGCGAGAACTGGAGTTTAAAATAATCTGCATGCAAGATTTTGCATTCTGTAAATCTATATTTACTACATAAGCATACAACTGCATACATCTTGCAATTGTGATATTAATTGGCTTATGCAAGATTTATATTAACTATTTGTCCGATTAAGCGGATATTTTGAGAATGTTGGTGAACGTGGTGGCTATTTACCGAGGCTTCAGCGAAAATTCAGCTGCAGTGAGTCACCCTTTTTCTCAGAGATTTGTTGTTCCTGCTCCCATCAGCTGCTGATTGCTCTGTCTTATGTCGGAGACACATTGCTCTTAATGGCTCGGCGTCTTTGGAGCGGCCCAGATCCCCTCGCACCCGCGGTCTTACTCAGGTTTTACCGCGCAGTGGCACTCCAGCACTCCTAATGACCGCTGCGGCGCCGGCGAGCAAACAGGAGCCTCAAACTACCCATGCAAAAACTGCACGGAGCTTGTTGTAATGCCGCGACCGCCCTTTGTCTAGCTGACAGACCCGCTTTGCGCTTTGATATATCTTGATTATCGCGTAGCGAGTCGAAAATCGGCGTATTTTGCAGATGACGGTCGCTGGACAGTTTGCACTGTGGTTACTTCTCATGCAGAAAACATCGTCTCAATAACACGGCTTCGCATTCCTCTCCTTCTCTATTTCTGGATATTTTTTTCTCATTATCTAAAGGAATAAAATAATAAATCTATATTACATCTGAAGTCTTTGCTACTCGATCACAACAGGGGGGCCGGAAAACTAAATCCTTTTGCCTTTTCATCGGAAGGACGGAAGGACTGTCCCCCCAACGGACTAAGCAGGAGAAACAACGTGCTTTGAATGTAGAGCAGACTTCAACTAATATTGACAGCACGGCTTTCTGCTTTTTAAGAAACAAATTACACTGAAACCTCGTACTTTATTTTTTTTCCTTTCTCTTTTCATTATTGATAATCATAATCGAACAAAGTCTACTTAATTTTAGTGTCTTTCCGGATTGCTTTGAGTACAGATTGGAGCAGCACTTTGCCAGAAACTGCTGAGAAGAAACGTGGGGAAAATATATATTATAAACGTGCCGATGAATTAGATATATGGTCATTTTTGAATTAACATTTTAAGCGAGTTATGGCTACGTTGTATCAAAGATTTACCGGGAAGATCAATACGAACAGGTCTTTCCCCAACCCGCCGGAGGCCAGTCACCTTCTCGGCGGGCAGACTGTCGAGGAGGACAGCGCCAAGAAGACTTCCCGACCCGAGCGGGACCACCGTGCCCCTTTCCAGCGCCAATCCAGGAGCGGAGCCGAGGATGAGGATGTAAGGCATCACCCGCCACCCAGTGCGCCATGCAGGTCCAGGTCGCTTATCTTTGGTGTTGGAGGTGCTGAACTAGTTGCCATTTCGTTTGTGTGTGTGTGTTGGGGGGGGGAGGACTTTGAATTTGCATAAGTTCTTTTTCTCTATATCGTATTTTTCATTCATGCCCCCCGTATTAGTAGCAACGAACGTACACGACGAAACACTGCTCTTTGCAGAAAGCATAATCACAGGCATGTTTATAAGCGGCAGAGGTCATTTAAAGGATCGCTGATCATTTTGCATTAACGTTCGTTAAACTATTTTCTGATTAGGATCAGGATTGGAGCTGGTACCCGCTCGTACTGCCTTAGTCGTTATCATCATCATCATCATCATCATCATCACCATCATCATCGATGGTCGCGAAGCCTGCGGATAGTGTAATAGGTAAACAGCTCGCAGATCTGGCGGCCTCTGTCTTCACGCCTGAAGCAGATGGCACTCCGTCCCCGGCCTTAGCAGCGCCGGTAGCTTAATTCCCCTCATCCGGCGCGTGGGAATTAAGCCCTCTCCGACAAAACTCAATTATTGCCAAGTTCTTCGGCCCAGTGGATAAAAAAAAGAATTCAACTTTTTTTTTTTTTGCTGCACACCTGTTGAAATAACGTAAAAGAATTGCAATAGAGAAGATCTTATGACCTATTCGTTTGGACAGGGAAATTTGAGATAAGATTGCTAAAGCACGATTTTGAAATTTCATGCAATTCATAATTCCCGATAGCCTACAAGAGATATCTTTCCCGTTCTATTTCTTTATCTTCCTGTGATGAGGATTCTCTTGGCTTCTAATGCGCACATTTAACTAGGATATATCAATACCATGCGACCTTTTCTAATCGCTGCACCCGTGACTGCAGTGTCTGCAGGGGCAGTAATGCTGAGTACTTAGTCAAACTAATTGGCTGCGGTTTGACCATTTATCGTTCACGTTGTTGCTCTGTGTCCTTTTCCTGCTGCGCATTCCCTAGTGACAGGTGATTCCATCAACAGCTGTGTGTCCCGTTGAATTATTAATGTGCGTCGTGCTGGTAGTCAGTGGAGTAAAGGTCAGACCAGCCTTCTGCGTCTGATAGCTTTAGTGCCGGCGAGCACTGATGACAAACTTGTTGAATGTATTTCAGTCGCGCAAGAAAAACAACAATGTTTCTAATTGTCGTCATACCTCGGAAAAAACAAAATAATGTGGATGTTCTGTTAGAGAAAGCTGAAATTAATTGTGGTACCAAATACTATAACCCATGAAGTGCTCACGGTCTGTAGGCTACCTACCAGGGGTAGCTAATAACAGGACATTCAAATAGGATATTGCGTGAGAATTGTGGATTTACTTTTAATTTTTAATACGTGAAAGCACAGTATGCATGAATGAATCACCGGAACCACATGAATATTACTCTGTTGCTGTCAGCGTGTTTTGAGATGGATACTCACACCTTCAGGCCTGATCTCATCCTCTCATCATCGTTTAGCCAAAATCAGGAGAAGTCAACCCTACCTCGTAATTACATGTTATGGTATAAAGACTTCATAGAGCCAGGTCCATATTTTGAGCAGCCTGTGCAGATTTTGCTGACTGGGGGGCTGAAACAAGTTTGGGGGGGGGGGGGTGTTTGGAATTGTCAGTTCTCTACCTGGCTACATGCCCAATGGCAGCTAGATTGGTCCCATGATGGTGTAAAAGGGAACATTTCGCCTCTTAAGTTCCCAACAGATGCAAAGACTTTCTGCTAGATTGTTTTTCACGAGGGACCTTTTCGCTCTCAGCTGTTGTGCAATATGCCTCGGTGGCTGGGGCTCTCGTACCCTGAACCTGTAAGATCCTGAACCTGTAAGATCCTGAACCTGTGAGATGGAGGGGAGTGGGTGTCGACATCTCGGGGGGATAACAGGAGCGCCGGTGTGATCCAGGCAGACGGGGGCTGCCGACGCCACGTCCGGCTCCAGATGAGACAGCGGCATGGTGTGGTGGAGGAATGGGGGGGGGGGGGGTCGCATTGATTCCTCCTACTTCTAATGTCACGCTGGGAATCTAATAAAGTCTCCTTAATTAGTCGTAAAAGGCCTGCTGCCGGAAATGGGCTGACATTCAGGCTTGTGGGTATTAATCCCAGGCAGTTAGATAGGTATTGACTCTCCTTTGTATGGAGTTAAAGGCAGCGGCAACCAGACGAGTCTCGCCGCAGACCACTGACACTCAGGAGCTTTCTGCCATTGTACAGGAACCTTTCAGAACAGCTAATGTTTAACAGGTGGATACAGCTGGGGGGGGGTATTGATTTAGGGTGGGTGGCCTCCATGTTATACACAAAGACTGCAGCTGGGCTTTCTGTTTTGCAAATCAAAACGCGGGAAAATAATTGCCTCCTGCTAATTGCCTCTGTTTATATTTATCGTTTTTCGTTGACTTTCTTGTTTGTAAACCTGGAAGAATCGGCAGACTTGCTGAATATTTTATGCGACAAGTCAAATTAAATTAGTGGTGGACATATATTTCACTTGGTGCCAGTTTAGGTATACCCTGATATAACCTAAGTAACCTAAACATGGCGTTCAGACATAATGGGTCTCGCTAGCAGAACAGACTGAAGCAGAATGCTATAGCCAGAGTTCATACTATCTGATCATATTAGTCCTGTCTTGTTGTTACTACATTGGCTTCCAGTTAGGTATCATATTGATTGATCCTTTTATGCTACTAATATTAACATACACAGGACTTAATCTAGAGTACTTGTGCAGCCATTTTGTTCCATACAATCCCCATTGTTTGCTTTACTCTCAAGGTTGTCTGCGTGTTCCCTGAGTGGAAAGGGCTATGTTGGTCCATAGCTATGAAGAAGTCTTCCAACAAATGTGCAGGATTCAGGCTCACTCTCAAGTCTAAGACCTATAAACATACTTGTTTAGCTTAGCTTTGAGGGACTGTAGCTCTTGGTAGTTACTCACCCCCAGCAAAGTTTATAGTCTGGGGTGTATGGCTGGGTGGGGATCGGTGTCATCGATTTTGGATGAAGGGTACAGTCAGTGCTGTCACTCTTGCATACCAATGCGGCCCCTTGTGTGGCTGGAGTGCTGGCATTCAGAGATTCCTCGTTCCTGTGTTCTCACCATCCAGTCCTTCCTACTTGTTCTGCCATAGTTAGGCCTGCCACGGCCTTGTTGCTGCATTCGTCCTGCTGTCTTTCAGTGCCATTTATCTGTTCAGCACTTGCTGATGCACCCTCCTTATCCCTTCCGCCATACTGGAGCGGAGGTCCGGATGCCAGGGGGTGCCCTACCTGCCAACCGGCCTGCCTGTGTTGCTACCCGCCTGCCGCCCGCCCGCTTGTGCCTCCCTGCCTGCATACCGTCTGCCTGAGCCACCTCTCCTACCCATTTTCCTGCCTCGCTGACTACCTGCCTGCCTTTCTGGTGCCATCCTGCTGTTCTGCCAGGACTTACTTTACCCTAAAATTATGTAAGATGGTACTGCCCAGTGCCAACCAATGGGGGATGGGCTTCCCTCTTGAGTTCCCCCATGAAAAACTCCTCTAAGGGGGTTTATCCTTGCCGCTGTCGCCTCAGACTTAATCTCTGTGGACCTTGGGCCCGGGACTCTGTAAAGTGCTTTGGGACGATGCTCCTTGTCAACATTTGAGTTTGAACATGCAGGAATTCCTACTATTACTGCTGAATCAGTCATTAAGAGCTAATATATGATCTCAGCAACAACCATGTGGAGAGTTGATCTGATTTATCAGCCCTGAATCTGGAATGCAGATGAACCGGCTAGGTCGTGTTGGTCACCCAGCCGAAAGGGAGTATCTCCGTGCGTCCCTCAGCGGTAGAGAGTCATCTTGGCCAAACTCACTCGAGTTGCCGAAGAACAGATGCGGAGCTAAACATCAGAAGGACTCTCGAAAGATGAGAGAGCCGAGAACGGAATCAGTATCACCAGAGCAGCACCGTAACAAAGAGGTAGGGGAGGAAGGACCTCAAGAATTGGGAGATGGCGAAAGAGCACAAACAGAGCCCTTTATAGGGAGGACTGCAGACACATCTGCAATGTGGAAGGGTCTCGCCGCATTGCAAACCCCCAAGGACTTCCTGAGTATCACTCAAGTATGCCCAGATGGCGGGATCTAGAATTGGGCTACCCATGGCCTCGGCCAACAGAAACCTGCAATTCTCCAGCTGCTGTACAGCTGTAACGCCTTTCTGAGCAGACCCGAGCCAGCCGTGCACTTGTCGACCTCAGCATGTCGTACACAGTAGCCCCCGTCTTTGAAGTGGCTCACTGGTACTCTCGTCGTTTGTTGACTTCCAGCGTAGCCAGCAGACAAGCCCCGGCTTGCTGCAGCTGTTGCTTCAATAGGAACTCTCGGTTGCCATGGTTTCAGGGCGGAAAGGGTAGGGGTAGGTCGCCTCGTGACAGAGGCAGTGGGCTCCCTGAGACAGAGACGGTTATCGATTGACTGCATTCAAGTCAAGTTGGCAGCAGAAATAGATGACAATGCATTTGCATGCTTAGCCTGTCTGTGCATGTGGATTCACAAGGCGGAGGATGCGCGGCTGAGAAAGGTCACCCTGAAAAGTGAACGATTGTTTCTTCGATGCCCATCTCAGCTGGACCAGTCAGAATTTAGAATGTGAACCCCAACCCTGAGGGGAAATCTTGGCAGCCAATCAATCATGCTCCCAGCCAATTTGTTAGCAGGCCATCAATCACGTTATGGGCCACACCCACAAGTGCAGTTAGCCCACCAATCACATTTCCAGCCACTCCCATGACTGTCAGCCACATACCAATCAAACTCCCAGATACCCCCACGGCAGCTGGCAGCCCACCAGTCATATTCCCTACCACACAAATTTACAGCCACTCACAGAACTGTTACAGCTCACCAGTTACATTTCAGACAATACCCAGGATGACACAAATTTATGTATGAAATGGATATGCAGTTTTAGGTTTTTTT